AGAGAGGATCTCGGACAGTTGGCGCTTGACGGTGCGGTACAGCGGCTGAACGTTGTCAAAGTGGGGCAGGGCTAGGATAACATTGTTCGAAGCCTGTGGTGACGGCGGGGTGAGGATCGAGACGCCGGTAATAATGCCAAGGGTCCCTTCTGCGCCAATGAAGAGCTGTTTGAGGTCGTAGCCTAGTTCACGTCAGTCGATGCAAGAAATTGAAGTTACGGATGGGGCCACCTGTATTGTCTTTCCGCAGAGAGGTCAGCTGGTCGAGGATGGTGCCGTCTGGGAGAACAACCTCGAGGCCGAGAACAGAGCCGTGGAGGGATCCGTATCGCAAAAGCCGAAGTCCGCCGGCGTTTGTCGCGACGTTGCCGCCGATGTGGCAGCTAAAAAGCGTGAATATACCTGGCACAACGCTGGGGCGTATACGGACCTGCCTTTGGCGCCGAGATCTATGGGCATAATGTGGTTATGGGGCGCGACGTAGTCGGTTAGGGATTGCAGAACACATCCGGCATCTGCTACCAAGATTCCTAGTGGCGAATTTACGCCTGCAAATCACAAGAAGGAGAGAAAGAGGAGTACCAGAGACGGGGTCAAACGAGCGGACCGTGTTCATACTGGCAAGTGAGACAATCAATTCATCCTTCAACGGGACACTTCCGCCAACGAGACCCGTGTTTCCGCCTTGCGGCACGATGGCAATATCGCGACTGGCGCACCATCGAACGATGTCGCTGACCTGCTGGGTAGTCTTTGGCTTCAGCACGGTGGTCGCGCGTCCGCGGTACTTTCCCATCCAGTCATTGTTGTAGGGGTCGAGCTCAGAGACGGGGAGGGTGGAGGGTGATAGGGTGGATAGAATGGCATGCGGAGGAAGGATGGTCTTGAAGTGGTCGATATCAGAGGCGGCGACGCTGCTGTATGGCCTTCTCCAGCGCAGACCGCGTCGAATGAGTCGCGACATGTTGTGGTTTCTCCAACAGTCCGATAGCTCCGACAGCCCGATAGCTCCGCGACCGGTCCGGCATCTGAGTGGTTTTTCCTCTGAGGCTCAATTGTGCGCACAGCGTTTTGACGCACTTAACCTCTTGGGATGTAGGCGCTAGGTTCCTCGTTGGGGGCTAGCCTTCCAAGAAAGCCGTGGTTGGAGGCCGCTATACTTGCGCAAAGGGATAGAGCTCTGCAATGTGAGCATCAATAGGGTCATTCACGGTTCCCCTTTTCCGGCCCTTTTTTCATTCCCTTTTTCGCCACCTCTTTGAATTTTCAACCACATGATTTTCATTCCAATTTGGTTACATGGTGGTCATAGTTATGGGTCTATATGGCATCCACTGTGGTATATAAGCCTCACAGCATGCAAGCCATGTACCTTCAAGCAAAAGGGAGCAAAAAGGGAGCAAAAAGGGCTGAAAAAAGGGAGCACAGTTGGGGGGTTTCACAGTTGCCCTTTTTCTGGCCCTTTTTGCACTTGCACTTCTCTTGTATTTGGTCAGTTTTACAGCTACAAAGTTCATTTCTTCCCTTTTAGACCCTTTTTACTAATGTTGTCAAGACTCAAAAAGTCGAGTCGTGACTTGCGAAGTCGACTTGATTTGAAGTTCGACTCGACTCGACTCGACTTGGCTTTAGTCGAGTCACTTGGAGTGACTTCAAGTCGACTTGAGTCGACTAGTATTTGGTAAATCCGCTGAAATAGCCACCATGTTGAATGGGAACACTATATGAGTGTCTACATCTTGAACTTGATAAAAGTTGACATAAAATAACATTTATTTCGTTGAAATCTCAGGTTCCCATTGAGATTATGGGGGGAAAACACATTGAGAACCTTCCAAATAGCATATCACATTTTCCCAATAATTTTCTGGGTGTCATCGCGGTCGGAAATAGGATGAAAAGGCGAAACGAAACGACGGTGACATGATGTCACGCGGCCATCACGCGTGTGACATTCGTGTCAATTTGTTCAAACAAAAAATCGAAATCAGTTCCAATCATCGTTATTCGTGAAAAGGAACATAGAGTAAAATCACCCGACTTAAGTCACTTGAGCTGACTCGAGTCGACTTCCCTTCGACTCACAAGTCTCACTGAGTCACATCACGACTCGACTTTGACTCGGTTCAAGTCGACTTGTGAAGGCTGAGTCGGAAGTCTTGACAACATTACTTTTTACACCACTGAATTGAAAAGGGAAAAAAAACCGGGTGGAAAACAGAAAAAAAGGAGTGAAAAAGGGCGGAAAAAGGGCAACTGTGAACGACCCTAATCCAAGCTGGGAAGCCTAGGTGATGTGATGTTTCTCTTTTCTCCTTGCCTCGTATGATTCGGGCAAGCAGTGTCTTCAGAACTGGTTTAACACAGCATGAGCGGGCTATAGCTCTTTCCCTCCGTAGCCCATTTTCTTCCTGTGCTTGTGAGGATGTGCAACAGATGATAGTTCCGTGACGAGTGTGGCAAATTTGGTTTGAATGAAATGGTGGAGTGGTTATAATTTTCATAGATATGCCTTCTGTGAAGATGGGGGTGGTACCTTGCACACGGACCTGCATTTGAGGCCCGAAACAACAGTCGCACACAGCTAAGTATGGGCTGCTGGCTGTTTAAAGGTTTGCACTTTTCATCAACTGCACCTTATCCAACACCTTTGTATTCAACAATTTCCTCCTGACCCGTTTTATGGAGTCGAAGGGACCTTGGATAGGGTTCCTTGGTGAACCTTTGGTCCAAGTGACCTTTTTAGCTAGCCCCACGGAGGACGGCATAACCTGAGCTAGTTTGTATATGAGAGAGACAACTCCGCCCTGTAAGGCTGGGGGAGGGTAACTTAGGTGTGAGCAGTGGGGGATAACAAGATGATTCCTTGTGTTATATCCGAGCTACGGATAAGAGGGTCGACCGAGCAGTCAGACGGAGTTACAAGATACCGGAGTGCGGAGTCGGAACGGAGCGGAGTGACGGAGTCGGGGGGAAAGGGTGACCAGAGGATCGGATGACGCTACACCACTAGGGAGCAGGATGAGTGTTACTACCCTTGGTCTCGGAGTACAGGATAGACGAGACGGAGCTCCGAGTGAAGTTCCGGAGCGTTAACTCAGATTACTTGCAGGGAGTGCGAAGCAACATTAATAATAAATCTGAAGTACAGTGCTGTAGTCTAAGTGATTAAATACTAAAGGGTCTTATTGTAATACGGAAAGGAGATATGTAAGGTTCCATGCGGAAGTAACAATAAGGTTATATCCGAAAGGGGTGGAAGAAGTCAGGTGACTTGGGAGAAGTTGTTTGGACAATAAGTAAGAAGTCCTGAGCAAGGCGGACAATAAGGATGTCGCCTTATGGCGCGATACGGACTTCTGAAGGAAGTCCGCCGCGCTCCGTCGTTCCGTCTCCGCTCCGACGGAGCGGAGTCCGGAGTTAACGGAGCCATTCGGCCATCCTCGGACCCAAGTCCAAAGGATCGGGACATGGATATAACACCTTGGTAAGTACTTCTGGCTTTTATACAGAGTCTTGTCCAATTACCGCTGTGATACGGACTGCGGTTCCGTGAGTTGTCTGACCGGGTGTGGTATAGTCAGCAAAAGCACGAAATTAGTTCGTCCTCTAGAGGGAAATTTCTCTGTCGCGGAGATTCGTCTGCTACTGTGGTACACGCAATGTTATGTATTTTAAAATGTGGTGGTGGTGGTACAGTTCCTTCCGTATGGAATGAACAGTCTCGCTAGGTTCCTCGAGGATTTATTTCCTCGTTGGGGGGCTAGCCTTCCAGGAAAGCTTCAATCGGAGGGTTTTCTACACCTGCGCGAAGGGGGAACGCTCCGCAAGATGAACGCCGTTCCGTGTCGAGATGCCTGGGCTATATGGTTCCTTTTCTTATCCCCTTGCCTTGTATAGGTTGGGCAAGCAGTATCTTCAGAACTGCTGAACACAACGCGTACGGGTTATAGCGTAGTCCTTCGTAACCCGGCTTTTTCTCTACGCTGTGGTGGTACGGCCAAGGAGTGTCAATTCCGTGGGCGTGTGTGTGTGTGGCGAAGTGGTGAGAATGAATCGTGAAGTGGTTATAATCGAATTGGATAAGCCTTCCGCGACGATGGGGGTGGTACTCCGCGCACGGATCTGCGTTCGAGGCCCAAGCCAACGGTTACACGCTGCTAAGTTGGGCTGCTGGCCGTTTGGAAGTTTCGCCGCGCGTACTACAACCACGCGAGCTATCAACGCCGATGTTTTCTATAATTCCTTCTGGCTCGTTCTATTGAGCTGGAAGTACTACGGACAAGCCTCCTTGATTGAAGCTTTGGCCCAATTTGACCTTGGTTGATCCCACGGAGGGCGGCGCAACCTGAGCGAGTATGTATTTTGACTAGATTCTCACCCCGTATGATCGAGGGGGAGTAGCTTAGGTATGAGCAGTGGGAGGTAATAAGATGCATTCTTCTACGGACGTCCCTGCTTTTATACTAATTTCTTTCCGACCGCCGCGCGCGACCTTGTTCCTCATTCGTCCACGGACCCCTTTCAACACTGCCCTCCTTGCCTCGCGGCGAGGATCTCCATGCTCTCCCGTGCGCTTGAAGGAGATACCTAACCCATGGACCGTAACGTTGCTGCCTGTGCGCCCAATTTCCGTACTCCGTAGCTCGCACCTCCTTCCGTAGCCTTGATATGTACCGCGTGGCGACACTTTCCGTACCCCATGTAGTACCTCTTCCGTGCTCTGCGTATGCATCATGTCGATTTGTTAATTTTCGTGAGGTCCGTGGCGTTGTAGTTCCACTTCTACGCAATATGACAGTTGCGAGTTGAGATACCCTGCTGGTTGTTCGAGGTATAGGCCTGGTGGCGTAACGGTAACGCGCGCATTTGCAGTCGACTCTCCACGATATTACAATTGCGAGACCCTCGTTCGATTCGAGGTCAGGCCATGTACCTTTTTCCCCACAGGAGAGAATCAACCGTGGGTTGACACCTTTTCTTTGACGTCTTGTAGTGTAGACCCGGTGGCGTAACTGGTAACGCGCGCAATTGCAGTTTCTTCACAATATTGCATAATTGCGAGTCCCTCGTTCGATTCGGGGTCGGGTCGTTTTTTGCTTCCCTTTTCCCACAGGAGAGAATCAACCGTGGGTCGACACCTTTTTGACGTCTTGTAGCGTAGACCTGGTGGCGTAATGGTAACGCGCGCATTGTCGGTTCCTCGCAATATTGCATTATCTGCGAGTCCCTCGTTCGAATCGGGGTCAGGTCGTTTTTGCAACCTTTTTCTGTGCGTGCTCCGTAGTGCGTATTTGCCTTTTTCAGCCACGGAGGGAGCGTATCACAAAGTGATAGCTCACACCGCGTGCAATCTTATTCCTTTCTCGTTCATGGAGCCTCCATCGCCCTGCCCTTCCTGCCTCGTGGCATAGATCCTCATGGCCTCTGAAGTTTGACGCATATGCCCTCCATGAAGTTTGACAGAAAGCTGTCTCCACGACCTTTATGTTTGCCCAGTTCCATTGCTCAAAACTTCTTGTAGCGGTTCGTGAATCCTCCGTGAATTGATTCTTTGTGTCCTATTCCTGGCCGATTGTATGTTGTGGTTACTGGTACTTCAGGAATCAAGGTGTGTGCCCAGTCATCGTAGGCATTTTTTTATGAGCGGCTCTCTGTGAAATCCTTGTTCTTGTCGAGGTCGCCATTGATGTTTTGTGTTTAACAAATTTGTCTCCCATTGTGTCCTAGGACGTGCAGCATTTTATAGTGAGGCGTTTGCTGCGCTATTTAAGGTGTAACATGGAACTTCCTTGAGCATGGCCATGGTGCGAAGTATTCAACTGTGGGAAAGGCTCATTTGGTTGACAATTGTGATATTTCCGTGGCAGCACCGTATCCTAGCGCAATCTTCCCGTGTAGCCTGAGCTTATTGTGATTTCATCTGTGAGCTGTTTCATTGCTGATTTCCGCCGCACTTGAGCATATCACAAAGTGATAGCTCACAGCGTCCTCAGGCCTCCTTAGCTGGTCCGTCATGATTTCCACTTTTTTTGCCTTAAACACCCAGGTTATTCTCCACACCCTGGATTATTCAACCTCTACCCAATACAGAATGACCCAGGTGCCGAAGGTCAGATCATCAATGCCGACGACGGATCAGGTATCCCATCAGGTGCATCATTGATTCCATTATTTCAACTTTACTTCTCCAACCATCACCCCTCTCTGTCATGCTACGTGCTTCACCGACCATTGCTGGCAACATTCTACATGCATTTCATATACAATCTGTTACCTTACTACCAGTTACTAGGCCTTTTACTATAAAAACCCTACTTATAGCTCTGTGTTCTCTACACTATCCTAGTCTATTCTCCTGAGCTCAGCTTAATCAGATTATCTCAAACCTATCTCTTCTTGTCTCGTCAGTTGCCTACATCACAGTAACCCTGCTAGTTGAGGCTCTGTGCTCACATGTTTGGCAACAGAGCTAGAAATGCACAGCAGCCTGTCATGCTGTTCCAGCTCACTGGATCTTGAACCATCAAATCCAGAACATTGGTCTTAGCATGGGCCAATAAGGTTGTGCTTTCAAGGAAGCCACCACACAAATCCTTTTGTGGTAATTTTCTGCTTCTCGCAAGTGTGCTTTTCTCGTGCTCCAGCCACATGGACCCAAGAATGTTAAATGCAAAGCCAGCAAGGTCATCTCTGGTCGTGAACATTGTCGAATGAAGTGATTGGGAATACTGGATGATGGTGGTCCTGTTTGGAGCAATTCTATGAAGAACTTCCTCGTCACATTGAATGTGTGTGTTCCTCTCGGTATCTCTCTCATTATGCAAACAGGGTCCGGAGACAACCCACACAGGCTCAGGCATGCGGCAAAAGGGACGACGAGGGCTCAGATTCAGAACACGACAAGAAATCCTCCCAATTTATATGTTTTTTTTTGTGTTGCACGCAGCAACAGTTCCGCCAATGACTCGAGCAAGCACGATGAGCCATGGAACCAGCGACAAGTTAATCTCCTCAAGAAGGTGTCTTCTGCCTTTGGGTCTAGTTCCCTCAAAAAGAAGGACAACTCAACATATGTATACCTAGGCTAGCTTCCTCCTGACATCCACCACCTCCACGTATATCTCTTGATACTCAAATACAACACCCCCAGAAAAGGGTCTTTATATTTGCACCTGGCCTAAGTTTGATTTCTTGTATGGTTCTGCGGATCGTGGTGAGCACAATTCCAAAACTGCTTCTTTGCCACTTTTGGCCAGTCTGAATGTTAGTGTTTCGGCCACCGGCCAAAACTGGTTTTGTGGCCTCTAATGGTGCAGCCGAAACTACTGGTTTCAACAGCATTTTCAGTTGTGCTCAAACTGCAGCCGAAATCACTGCATTTGGGCTGAGGTTACTGATTCCACAGGTGCCAGCAATGTTTTCACCAGGCCGAATCTTACAGTTTTGTATGCAAATTCAGCTCTATTTTTATTGCAGCCTAATCTAACACTTTCAGGAACCAATTCAGCTGGGCCGAAATCACTGCATTTGGGCTGAGGTTACTGATTCCACAGGTGCCAGCAATGTTTTCACCAGGCCGAATCTTACAGTTTTGTATGCAAATTCAGCTCTATTTTTATTGCAGCCTAATCTAACACTTTCAGGAACCAATTCAGCCGGGCCGAAATCTCTTTTTTGCGGTGTGATAACAGGTGAGACAATGTGACGTGAACATATAATATTTGATGTATATTCATATTTCTCATAACTAGTTTAGCGTGTCTGTGTATTATTTACATTTGTTTATAGTTGATATTACTGACTAATATCATTACTTCTCTCATGCATACCACGACGACCTAAGTCGTGCGTGCGTTGGACACTCAGCAACCTCAAGCCGGCTGAGCATCCATTAACTGCTCCCTCCTCTAGGTACAGAGCCCCGCCGAGGGTGAAACGGCTCCTCAGCCAGGACACAGGTTAGAGATCCGCGCCAGCGTGATCTCGCCTTCAAACAGGACGACTCTCCGAGTCGTCCAACCATTGGACGTCGACGACTACGCCTCGCAAGAGGCCCGATAATTCTGCAGCCGTATCACAGTGGAGCCCACCGCGAGGGCCTCACCAAACGAGGCGATTGTGTCGTCGACAAAATCCAATAAAATTCAAGTCATACGTAGCGACCACCCATGAAGCTTTATCATTCGGCCACCCTCTAGGAACGTGAGGCGTTAATCGCCTCCGTCCTGGACTCAAGATCGACAGGATCGACGAGCTCCGTCCCCCTGGTATCTTCTTATCGACGGCCATATGGTAAATCAGTTTCATTGCAAATTATTGAAGCGCTCCGCTACCCGCGTTGAGCGCTGAGATTCTTTGCCCTACCGCTATGCTTGAAGACCCTCGAAGTACTCCGCCTCGCGCGTAGAGTTTACTTCGAGAAAATCGGGAGCGTCGCCCGAGTTCGACTCTAGTCACCTCCGGGAATCCATGACTCCCGCTCCCTGTTTCCCTTTTCATCAAAAACGAGCGCGCTCCTCGCCGTTCCCATCAAATCCTTCGCGTGCAACTTCTCCTATCCATCCGAATTAACGGACCCCTTGCCGGAGAGGTATTTAAAGGGAGTCCATCCCCGTTCCCCTCCTTCTATCGAACCACCATGAGCGAACCCGCCACTTCCCGAGTGAAGAAGAAGGACACTACGGGGCCTTCTCGCCCTTCCACCCATACGCACGACTCCCTCGGACGCACCCGCAAGGCATCCAAGATCCTCGACATGGACGACCCCGTCACCGACTCCGGAGGAGGAGGAGCTGAGATCCCTGACCAGGTTGATGCTCGCTCTTCCCCTTCCGTCGAAGTCGGGGACGTTCACGACCCCACGTACCGAATTAAGATCTATCGAGCGCCCTCTAATGCTCCCAGCGAAATCTCCAGCGTCGATCCTGCCCCGCCCCCGAAGAATGACTCTAATTCTCCGGTATCGGCGGTCGAAGATATAAACGTCACCAATTTCCCTACTCAGCCAGACTCGGGCGGGGATGAGGGCATGGGTTTTGAGGAGCTCCAATCGCGATACACCTTGCTCGCGCAATCCGCTCAGAGAGCTGGAGACGAGGCGACGCGGATCCGTCTGAACACCGAGAAGAGAGGATTAGGGAATGTAGAGTACGCTTCTGCGACTCCATCCCTTACCTCTTTAACCAACCCGGCGCCCTCGATCACCGACTCCAAGGCTTCGAGCGAAACCCCCGTTCAGCGCACGCCGACGGTGAGCGCGGCGAGTGTCCCGGAACCTACCCTCGACGACCTCAAGGCTCATGGGAAGGGTATTATGGAGAGCGAAAGTATATCTCAGGCTCTGCAATCCAATCGCGACCCTGGACGAATTTTCTTATCCTTCGGACGCTCCATCGAGATCTACAACGAGAGTCTCTCAGCCTCGGTCGCTCGCTACCATCCCGCCTTTGATCCCTCCAGCGACGACGATCCCCTGTCGCAATTGGGTGCAGTGGATCTTCTCATGCCTGGACGATCTTCCGGGGAATCCATGATCCTACGCGACGCCATTATTCGACTCAAGACCCCTCACCGCAAGTGGTTCTGGGACGATCTAGAGGAATCTGTGAAGCAAATCGGCGTCGTCAAGTTTACTCGCGAGGACCTCAGTTCATTCGGGCCCATGGGACGTCATCAAGTTAAAATCTACTCCTTGAACCGCTTCCATTTGGAGCAATTCACCCATCTCAGCCTCGCCGTTCATCAAATCCTCGACGCCCTATACTCGTTCATGAACAAGTCCGGCAACGCTCGCTTCCCTCTGGACCCGGAGTGGAAGCTCCTACGAGTTCTCGAAGAAAACCTCAGCCGGTCCACTATTCTAATGACCTGCTCGACCCTCCAGATGCGCCTCGACCGCGCGATGAAGCATATCAAGATTTATGTGGACGCTATTGGGCGGGTGAATGGAAAACAAGGGTTGGACACGTTGAGTTCCGTGGATTCCACGTGCAGCTCCGTGAGGTCGGACTTCGGGAACGAGCACGGGGAGTACGAGTTGGCCAAGCTGCTCGAGCGACCTGACTACGGGGCGCGAGTGTTCGACGTCGT